GTTTGAGAATTGGACAACTTTGTTTTAGCTGAAATAAACCTGGAATGAATCGTTTTTTGAATTGTGAAAGAAAACTCTTTCATAACGACACCACTTCAGGCAATTTACTCAAATAACTCATTAGAGCGACAAATTCCACATCGCCCACTGGATTTTTATAGCTTTTTTTTCTAGATTTTAAGACATATTTTGACAGGATTTTTATCCTATTGAAAGAAAACTAAAGCTGTGAGAACACCAATCATCTCATCAGGAAGCAAATGGACTTATGTACTTTGGACTTTTATGGACGATTCAAAAATATAAAACCAAAGAATATATGTGAAAAATTGTATGCAAATATAGTGAAATTGAGTTCGCTGAGCCAAAGATTCAGAGAAATATTAAATATGCATCGTACATGAATTGATAAATGTGACCTCGTTTGTCAAACCATGCAGTCAAATATTATTAAGTAAGTTATTTTAAAATCTAATGTTGACTGGAAACTTTTAAAGGAGGACTAGCAAGAAAATCTATATATATATATAACTAAAAGATATCTTGATTACAAAATACACAAAATATATATGGAGCGATGTTTAGTGTTGAGTGTATGACGTCACATACTCCTATAAAAAATCGCAAAAATATATAATTGCCATCCGTATATCAACTTTAACCAGTGATTATTAGACCTTTAAGGGTTATTCCTGGCAAGTTTCAGCTGGATAAAAGTTCGGGCGATTTTCGTGCTATTTCCCCTTTAATTTTAGGTAACTAAAGGGAAAATTTGCAAAAAACATTTTCTCTCCAGACTGTTGTGCATTCAGTTGAGGAATGTTTTTCAGTCAGATCCAAAGATTTTTTCATTAGGATTTCTTTTTAGATTTTGCTTAAACAAAAGGTATTCTATTATCATTATTATTCCCTCACTTTAACCCTTGACCACTCTACGTGCTTCAAGAAGGTATTAAGGCACTTGATTAATCCGACTCATTGCAAGTCTAGCGACCCATAGCAAACTGGAAAAACCCCGAAAACAACCCCCGCCTTCAGTTTTTGGAAGATTTATGATAAAGTCTCGAGTTTTTGCGTATTCAAGTTTTGACTCTTCCTATTTCAAACTACGTGTCATTCTCTTGATTATTACTATTTTGTTTTTCGGTTAATCATATCCATTTCGAAATCAATGATGATTTCTGCAATCTAATTGGCGATTTAATCACCAATCGCACCGTTTTAAAGAGGCAATACAAAAAGCAATGAAAGAAAAAAGAGGCCAAAGAAAAGCATAAGAATAAAGTATAGGTGAAAGAAACTCTTTGATCCAAACCTTGAATTTATTTTATCATTTTCTATTATATA